TTAAAAACAAAAGGAAAAAGAAAGGAAAAAGAAACAAAAGGAAAAAGAAAGGAAAAAGAAACAAAAGGAAAAAGAAAGGAAAAAGAAACAAAAGGAAAAAGAAAGGAAAGAAAGAAAAGGAAAAAGAAAGGAAAGAAAGAAAAGGAAAAAGAAAGGAAAGAAAGAAAAGGAAAAAGAAAGGAAAGAAAGAAAAGGAAAAAGAAAGGAAAAAGAAACAAAAGGAAAAAGAAAGGAAAAAGAAAGGAAAAAGAAACAAAAGGAAAAAGAAAGGAAAAAGAAACAAAAGGAAAAAGAAAGGAAAAGAAAGGAAAAGAAACAAAAGGAAAGAAAGGAAAAAGAAACAAAAGGAAAAAGAAACAAAAGGAAAAAGAAACAAAAGGAAAAAGAAAGGAAAAAGAAAGGAAAAAGAAACAAAAGGAAAAAGAAAGGAAAAAGAAACAAAAGGAAAAAGAAACAAAAGGAAAAAGAAAGGAAAAAGAAACAAAAGGAAAAAGAAAGGAAAAAGAAACAAAAGGAAAAAGAAAGGAAAAAGAAACAAAAGGAAAAAGAAAGGAAAAAGAAACAAAAGGAAAAAGAAAGGAAAAAGAAACAAAAGGAAAAGAAACAAAAAAAAAAAGAAAGGAAAAAGAAAGAAAAAAAGAAACAAAAGGAAAAAGAAAGGAAAAAGAAACAAAAGGAAAAGAAAGGAAAAGAAACAAAGGAAAGAAAGGAAAAGAAAACAAAAGGAAAAAGAAAGGAAAAGAAACAAAAGGAAAAAGAAAGGAAAAAGAAACAAAAGGAAAAAGAAAGGAAAAGAAGAAACAAAAGGAAAAAGAAAGGAAAAGAAACAAAAGGAAAAAGAAAGAGAGAAAGAAAAAGAATAAAGAGAAAAAGAAAAACAAGAAAAAGAATAAAGAAAAACAAGAAAAACAAGAAAAAGAATAAAGACAAAAAGTATAAAGAAATAAAAGAAACAAAAGAAAAACAAGAAAAAGAAGTTTTCATTGAATTTATTGGTTCTTTAAAGAAAGAATTATTTAGGAAGGGAGTTGATGACTTGAAGCAAATGTGAAGAGAATCTATCAAAGAAAAAGAGGAATATTTTGACCAATCAAATAAATTATTTTTTGATTATTATTCAATTTGTTGTTTAAATAAATCATCAACTTTATATTGAACAACCCAAGAAGTTATTTTCTGTTAATGCTTACAGGAACCACATATAAACCAGCACAATTAGAAAGTGTCAGATTGTATAAGAATGAATGGACAAGCTGGTTGTAAAATGCTCCAAATACCATTAACCAATTTATGCATGTCATTTTCTATTTTTTTTTATCAATTCACCCAAAACAATTTTGATAATGTCACTAAGATGCAAGGTGCTTGGGACTGAAAGAGAATGAGAAGACTTTAGAAGGGACTGGAAACCTAATCCTAAAAAGGAAACAAGCAATAAACCTCTACTCCTGTTCAAAAGACAGGGGAGGAGTATGAACTGAATGATAAGTGAACTCCTATTGAGGAAAACAAAAAATAGTAAATAAAAGTTCAGAGTTCAGGTGTGGATGCCAGAAGTATAGAGTTGAAGAAAACTTTAGAAGGAACCAGAAAACCAATACAAAACAGAAAAAAAAGATAAACCTCTACTCCTGTTTAAATGAGGTTGTGTGCTTATTCATTAATTTATTTTTTTTAAAAATATAGTGTTCATAAATTTTTTACTTTTAAAAAAACAAAGCATTAGGAAATCAATTGACCAAAATCGCCTGAAGATACAAAAAGATTGAAGCCAAGGTAGCGAAATTGGATGATCTCTTAATTTTCTATACTTAAGAACTCTAGATGTTAAATTTTTATCTTTTTATATGTGTATTGACCATTTTTTAATACACATGCACACAAATGAAGGTTGCTGGGAATTTTAAATTAAAATTTTTTTTTCCTAACAAAAAAGTTATGGAAACAAAAAGAAAAAGAATCTAAATGAAATCGGCTAGATTAAAAAAAAATTATAAATTTAAAATTCCAAGCATTCCTGCACATGTGTAGTTGCACTAACGTAAACAAATTTAGTCCAATGAAGTCCTAAAGGACAAAACGTGTCACACAAAAACTTTTTCCACTTTGTCATACATTTTTCCCCAATTATTGTTATTGATATATAAAAATATATATCATTATCTCATGTGTATATATATATATATATATATATATATATATATATAATTGGGCAGATGGAACTATTTTAAAAATGTCAATAGTTGTGTTAGCAAAAAGTCACAAGTCATCATGACAGAGGGTTTGGGCATACTGGCTTTGTTCCAACTAAAGGTCATGCCCGATCATGCATTCTTTCCAAGAAACTGTAGCTAAGATCCACTCAGCATAATTGCAGTATAAACCATAGATGTTCTCTGTGGATGTTGACCAAACAAAAATGTGCCTGAGCAGGTATAGAGGCAGGCATCTGTAACAGAGATTGCCTCATTGCCCTAGCAGATGGGTTTGCTCAGAAATGAGTAGCTGGCTATTATATATAATTGGACACTGAGGTCAACACCAACAAGTGACGGTCTGTTTCATGCCTGGGCACAATCTTCAGGCCATGAAGATTACACTCAAGCATGAAACAGACATCATGAAAACGCCCGGACTTGTATCTGTTGTACATTGTGTGAGTTAGTATGAACACTGGCTAGGTTGCTCATGTCAAGGTGATTATGAGAGTTTGAAGAGAGTACAATAAGTGTATGCCAGGTGAATAGGGTATTCAAATTATGCAATTGTGACATTTAACATTCTTCAATCTATGATTTCACATTTGTACTGGGAATAACTAATGGAAAACATTACTCCCCACTGACGACAACACAGTATGGCTGGCCACAGATCTGTAATGATCAGGATCAGTGCTGTCTGGCTAGAAGTGTTTGTCTTAACAGAAAAGATCACTGACAGGTCAGTTTAGCTTTTGGAATGCAAGAGCAGAAGTCTCATCAAAGTGTCCACAACACTGGACAATGTCTATCACTTGAGCTTGTGATGATTTTAATTATACTCTGGAATGGTGTATTGTGTAGTCTGATGAATCATGGTTTCTGTTGTGAAGTAAAGGTTAACACTAATCAGTCACTAGACTCATACTACTGGTGGTTATTCTCAGTGACCACCTATAAGAGTGTTCACTTATACCTATGCAACGTTTCCTTCTGTAATGGTTGTTCCACCAACTCATTATCAGATGGAATTGAAGACATTTCTTCGTCATTTCGCTCTTCCTCTTCACCCCGGGTCCTTATTTGGTCAGCATGGTCCAACACACTATCGCCATTCTCTCTATTTATTATGGCTGTATTATGGCCTTTTTGCATTATAAACTCAGCTCCTTCCGGATCCGCATCCTTGCTCTTCTTGTACCACATCTTTTCATTTGTAGAGTATAACATTGTTAGTGGAGCTCTAATCTGTCTTCCCATTAAAGCTGATGGGCTTTCGAATCTTCCCGCATGTGGTATCGTCCGATAACTTAAAAGCAGCCTCAGTAGAAAAACTTCTACTTTTTCTTTTTGCTGAGAGCATGCTTTTAACCCCTTTTTTACGGTCTTAACCATTCTTTCTGCTAATCCGTTTGATTGAGGGTGATATGGAGGAGCTTTATATGGTTTACACCCTATTTTTTCTAACCATACGTTAAGTTCTTCCTCACAAAATTCTGGTGCATTATCAGATACCAAGATTTTTGGTATGCCATTTCTAGAAAATATGACTCTTAGAATTTGCTTTATAGTAGAACTTATCTTGTTTGTAACCCGTATTATTTCAGGCCAACCTGAAAAGGAGTCTACTAATATTAATAAGAATCCCACTCCATTAACGTATGCATGATCCATATGGACCCGACTCCATGGCTCCACTTCTTTGGGCCACGAATGTAACTTGGTTTGTGTAAAGTTTCTTAATTCTTTACATTTTTTACACTTCTTTACATATTCCTCAATGTCTCTTGAATGACCCGGCCACCAAGCTTCTAGTTTTATCCTTTTTTGTGTGGCCTCTACTCCACAGTGTATATCATCATGTACACTTTCTATTATTGGTTTTCTTTGTGTTTCTGGGGGAACTACCAGGTCCCCATTGCAAATCACTATGTTCTATTGTTAATTTGTGCCTTATTTCTTTATAAGGTCTTTCCGCCCTAGAACAATTTCCCCACAAATTTTTCCTTATTCTCGATACTATCCTACTTAGCACTGGATCATGTCTCGTTTCCACAGCCATTCTGTCTAAAGACAAAATATCATTCTCTACCAAGTGTAGGAATGAATCTTCAAATTCTTCCTCCATTTTATCTTTTGACTCCTTGTAAAACCTCAATCTTGATAGTGCGTCCACATGTGGAATTGAATTTCCTTTGACATACTCTATATCAAAGTCAAATGCCATCAATCTTATCACCCATCGTAGAATCCTTGATGTCATGACTTTGGGTAATTCTTTCCTTGGGTTAAATATAAACTCTAATGGTCTATGATCACTTCTTAATAGAATTTTTTTTCCAATTAAAAATTGTCAGGCTCTGGTAGTTGTCCACACGATAGCCAATGCTTCTTTCTCTATGTTCGAGTAATTAAATTCAGTGTTCATTAACCTTCTCGACAAATACATTATCGGATGTCCTTCTTGTGATAATATTCCCAATATTGAATGTTCACTTGCATCTGTAATGAGTGTTATGTCCTTTTTTGGATCAAAAATTTTCACTACAGGTTTCTTTGACATAATTTCTTTCAATCTTTCAAAAGCTTTTTTCTGTTCATCTGACCACATAAATTCCACATTCTTTTTTCTTAAATTTGCAAACGGTTCCGTCAAGTCCGTGTATTTCAGTACGTATCACCTGTAAAAATTTACCAATCCCAAAAAAGACTGCAATTCTTTTTTATTTGTAGGTGTAGCTACTTTTAGTATTTTTTCTATCAATGCTTGGTCTGGTGATATAACTTCTTTTGAAATGGAATAACCTAAAAAAGATATTTTGTTAGAATTGCTTACGCATTTTTTTTTCATTTATCGTCATTCCACCATTTCTTAACCTATTCAAGACTAAATCAGTTTTTTCTTTTAATTTCTTTTCATTAGTAGCTCCTATGCATATTTCGTCTTGGTAACAAACCATATTTTGTACATTTCCTAAAACCTGTTCAATGGCCCTTTGAAATATGGCACTTGCAGTTTTTATACCATATGGCATTCTATTGCATCTTAGTAACCTTATTGGCGTATTTATCGTGGTTACTTCTTTGAAGTTTTCGTCTATTGGTATTTGGTGGTATGCTATTTTTAAATCTATTTTTGAAAAAACAGACATCCCTGCCAGTGCATGTAATGCAAGTTCAACATTGGGTATGGGATATGAATCCGAGCATATTTTGTGATTTACTCCTATTTTGTAATCTCCACAAATACGTAAATCACCATCTGTTTTCCTCAAAACTACAATCGGTGATGCCCACTTGCTACCTCCAGGTGGAACATGTTCAAGAAAGTCTTGTTCTGCTAATTTACGTAGTTTTGTCACTACTAATGGCAATAAATGTACTGGTAATTTTCGTGCCTCATAATAAGAGGGGGAAACATTTTCTTTCACTTTTAAACTTACTTCATAGTTTTTTTAACTTCCCAGTTTTTTCCATTTTTATTTCATTAATCAACTTAGTAGAGTTTATATTAAGCACATCATTTCCAATAAGCCTGTGGTTTTTTTTACAACTTGTAACAATTATAGGTTCAAATTTTTCTTTTAACTCTAATGAACCTTCAAAGTATCCTAATGTTTTTATAACCGACCCATCAAATTGGCGGAATTGTAAACTGCTTTTTCGTAAAGGTGGCTTACCAATGTGTTCCCAAAAATTCTTTGGTATCAGTGTTACTTCACTCCCAGTATCCATTTGCATATCTAAATTGCAGTTATTAATTTTGACCTTTACTATAATGTCTTT